CCGAGGGGACGCTCGGTGCGCTGGCAGAAGTCCGAGCGCTTCGGCGGGGCGTCTGAGGATAAAACCGAGGTGAAAGAGGTCAAAACATTAACAGGGGAGTGGAAGTAGACCCAAGCGGTATCTAAAACATTCGCTCTCGCATACAATTATTATTAGTCGAAGTCTCAAGATGAAAGAATACGGAGGTAGGCCGCCTTAAGACGTGCGACAGAGGAGGAAATGAGAACTCTGGTCAAATAAGACTCAGGTGACTTATCTGGCTGCCATCTGAACAGAGTCCGGGAGTGGCATATTGGTGGGAAAAATAAGTGAGAGCCTATACGGTTCAGCGCTGCGACCGGGAACAGGTCTGAGAAAACAATCATCTACACAAAAAGCCCAAAAGCAAAATAGTATTACGGTATGGCTATAAGTGTCCACTCATGGGAACCTTAATTTGTATTTAGTGCACCAAAACCGGATTCTAAATTTCTTAAGCGCTGGAACAGACTGTGTAGAGCAAACGGGGCGGCCTGTGAACAAGCCAACAGGCAACTTCACGGTATACAGTGAGTACTGGAGGTCTTGAAGAATTGGCTATTACCCTCAAATTTACATTTTTATAGAAAAATAAAGCTCAAGGGCAGTGGTGAAACCACCACGCATGAAATATGGTCCTACATTAGTCCATGCCCATTGTGATTAGGTGCCTTTTTAATCAAAGACACTTCGAGTCACCTCACCTTTTTGTCGGGATTTTGTTGCCATCGAAAGAGGAAGATAAATCCATAAACCACGTCATCAATCGGCTTAGACAGATCGTAGATTTCTTCTACCTGGACACCCTTTACTCCAAAGTCCTCCAGTAGCAGTGTGAAAAGACCTGGATCGCTTTCCAGTTCAAGCCACTCCTCTTGGGGCATTTCAGATCCTAGGAAGTTTATTGTAAAATAAGCAAGTCAGATAAAGTGCAGAATGCAATAAGGACAATAGAACCGTTATGTTGTCCAAACACAGCTTATTAGTTCGACCAAACTAAGTCAGGTTCATGCTTCTGGCATCAAATGTCCCTCTACAGAGATAATT